CTTTTCAAGAGTTCAAACCGCCTAGATTCAAATCCTCTTTTCCTATCTTATAAGGGCGTTTATCGAGTAAGTACTCCACAGCTTTGCTTTTATTTACTATCTTTAGCAGAATAGATTTCCCTCCTTCCTGCAGCCTTTTCTGTAGTCATTTTCTGGTATTATGCTTCCCCTTCCCCTCCTAAGGTCTATTAAATGCAAACGCTAAAAATTATGTCAAAATTATGGCAAACCATGATATTTTCAATGCACATATAATACATTTTGTAATCATGTCAGAGCCAAAACTGTTAATGTTTCTTTGTTTTTTGGGGGGGTCAGCATGTTTTAAGTTTTAAAATATAATGTGGGGGGTCACCCACTTTTTTTTATTTGATAGGGGTGGGTCAACTGAGATTTACAGCTGGCAAAATGGAATCCGCCGACCCCCCCCCCCCTAGGCCGAAGTAACTGACCAATCCCTTAGTAGACAGGCAACGTGCTAACATTGTGATGTATAATATAAGCGGGGGATTAAACATGGTTTTTGTACTTTTTCGGAGTTTCAAAATCTCAATTATAGACAATTATAATTCAACATGTGACTAACCTAATCAGCAAATGGTTTCCTCCGCCCAGGGTTGTAATGTGCTAAATGCCAGTGAAAACCAGTGTATGCAGCAAAATTTATGCTGTTGGGCTATTCCATTATGTGGATATTGGGTCTCCTACTATGAATGTATTGTTTTTTATGACGCAGGTTTGTATTTGAAAAAAAATATTATTAATTAGCTTTTTGAAATGACTTAATCACACAATGTCTAAAATAATTGTTTGAGCCACTTTACTTTACATCACCTCCCCCCTCATATGCATTTATTGAGAGTGTCCTACTCATTAGTTGTTAACGTTTGACTAGGTGCCAAGTTGGATATAATCTGAATGAGAACTGGTGATGGTTGTGCAACCATAACTGTCTCAGCACAACGACTGTTGTGTTATGGAAGAGAATGTAAAGGGAAATGTAATTTAAAGTATATCGGCATGAATCTTCACTGTGAGTGTTTTCTTAAATGACTGGTAAAAGCAAGGCTGGGCAAATTTTGCGAAATAGTAGTTAGATACAATTACCAGATACGCAATCGACACATTTTGGGATATCGAAATATGAATGATAAACAGCATTTCCAGAGATATAGTTGGAATTAAAGCAAAGAAGTGGCCAATTAACCCATGAAACATACTCATACATATCTTTACATATCATCCTGTCATATTGTGTTGGGAAAGCTGTTATGCATACAATTATAATAACTGGAAATGGTTTCAGAACGGAAAACTGTTTTATTACTGTAAATAATTATGAACAATAAAAACTGATATTTTGAAACTATGAACAATAAACAATTAAACACAATAAATCTATATTGTAACGTGGTATGCAACAGGAGGTTTAAACATTCTGTCCATTCTATTTACCAGAATATGCTCACTGTTGAACACTTTCAAAAACAACAATGTCTCTACAAGTGTTGTATAAATCGAATGAAAGGTCTGGAGTCATGGCGAATACTTCTAGCGAGCCACCCCTCTAAAAACGTCTTCATCCAGCCTGGACCAATCATTAATGTGCGGGGTAATTACTCTGGCCAATGATATTGAACTTTACTTTTGGATAAAGCAGCCGTTTCACACTTCAAATAATTCTCTTGATACCCTGGAGAAGTGTGTCCATTGCTTCACAAGAACGACTGTACCGGGGGATTTTGGTCTTCTCAATTTAATTCAAGATGAATCTTCCTCCCAAGGTTGTTTTTTTTTACTGGAGACAAATGTCTTTTGGCAGCATTTTCTGTATTAATTTTCATTGCACAAAAAGCAGTAAATACCGTTACTGAAGCACAGAATTTGCATATATTTTTCCCTCGGCCATTCACGAAAACTGCAAATCATGGCTAATACCGCATCCATAGTTGTTGACACTTTGCAGCCGCCATGATGGATGTATTGTTACGTATTTGACCCCGGAGTCTGGCCTTGCATTCTGGCTACATTTACTGCCCTTCCATACCAGTTCGATTTCCTTTCATGATATTTAATATTTAAAACCAACCTTCATTTCATAGTCACTCGTTTTCACTTTTCGTTTTCACTAAAATTATTAAGACTTAAGACTTATCACTACCATCATGCAACCCTCCATAGTACTTCCGCAGACACAGCGACGAACATAATACAACAAATCCTCGCTCTCGGGAGCTGAAGAATTAAAGCCGCCAGTGGCGTCAACAGAGCCTAAGTTATCAGATATCTATTCCGTAATTAATATAGGTCACCTGATTGCCATTGAAGTACTTTAAATTATCTGTACCACGTGGTTAAAATGCAGTTGTTCCATGACTTTACCTAGTTTGGAGAAAGATCACCTTATATGATCATGTAACCTAATTAATATGCATAAGCACATGGCTCATTGTATATTCTGAAAACCATACCTTGATAACCGAACCAGGTAAATACAAGGATCCAACCGTATTTCGACCTCATGGTAAATATCATTCAAACAACCCTATCGGCAATCAGGCTTGGGCCCCGCTGATGTCACTTGCGGTTTTAATCTCTATTTACAATTATTGCCTCGTTCTAATGGGAGACGAGACATTTTATTTCAACATTGTACAAATATATATTGTTGGCATGTAGAATAATGTTTATACCCCACAATTTAAATCACATTACTATTACATCGTTTTGTACACATCATATAGAGACAACAACATCACGTGATCTATTCAATATTTTTTTCGTAATCGAACAACCTCTTTGGATGGAAACCCAAGCAACAATACCCAACTATAAGCTATAATCAATGTCAAAAGGCAATCCGAGAACACACAGGGGACACACAAACTAAACAAACAACACACTGTCAAATCGGTGAGAGAGATACATGGACCTCAAGGCACAACCCAAGAGGTGATGTTATTATTATTATTGTTATAGTTACTTTTCAATACAGTCTATACATATGCAAGAAAAATTACTAGTTGGTGCATTAAGGATTACACTGACCATTTTATATTTGAAATGACAATCAAAACACAAGAATGATTAGGGTTTATGCCTAATTCCGATGTGGGTTTATAATTAACATTTCACATAAGTGATCAATATAGGATTATCCCTTTCTGTCGGTGCATATAAGTGTGATTGCCCGTCTGTTATTGCAAAATCTCCATGTTCCACTTCAAGAATGTCGTAATAATGACGTATTATAGCTGCAACTCGTCATTGAAAGGACTGTGTGGATGATCCTTGAATCTGTAAACAATACATGAATTTAATATTACAAACATGAGTATTTATTAGAATGAATTATGCAGCATAGAAACGTCAAACAAATAATTATCACTATACTCACGTGCTCCAAAGTAAATGAAACACTGTCCAATTACGATTAAGAGACGTCAATGTATCCATATCGTCTGGGGTTAACTTGAAGTCAAATACCTACAGCAAATTAAATGATACATTTATCATTCTAGTCAGAATAAATTTTGGACCACGTGCTTGCTTTTTTTAATTGTATAAAAGGTGAAGTACTTTAAGTAGTTTAATTTAATTTATCATCATTTAACATCATATAGAAACCAGTCACACGTACACACATATAACCAATTTCCACCAATTTGTTTGGACAAAAGATGACATTTCAAACTGATCAGAATCATAAACATCACCAGTCATACATACGTTTAAACCTTATTCACCAGAATGCTTCGCCAAAATATTTCATTTCAAACTCGTGATATACATAAATATAAGTATATACTTTCTTATAGATGTGTGTTCGTTAAACGTACCGCAATATTTTCTTGTATCCGCTTTGGAGTGACACTTTTGGGTATCACCAAACAACCACGATCAATACCATATCTAAGTAACACCTGTGCTGGTAACCTATCGTGTTTCTTGGCGATAGCGAGGACGGCAGAGTCCTTTAATAAATTGGGATCTTCTTCCTTAGCCCTGTGAGTGTAAAATATGTATTGTGTTATGCATTTTATTTTTGTGTCATATGAACATATATGCTGACTGTACAATTCATTATAATCCTTGCATTGGCATTAACTCGTGTAATTTAATGACACATACACCTGATGTGAATACATTATGGCACTGAAAACTCTTACCTATTATAATCAATAAAAGAGCATTTTTATTTGGCAAGTGAGTTACAAGACGGCAGTTAATATATATATATATATATATATATATATATATATATATATATATATATATATATATATATATATATATATATATATATCAGTAATTTTAATGAAAACAAAGTACATTTATCTTATAATAGTGACACCTGTTGTTTAGTGTGATGAACCCCCACGGTTGGGTACAGGAGCAT